GACGTACAACCCGGTATGTTATTATGTATTTGATTTTCTTTTATATCATTTTACTATTTATTATTGCCTGAATGCAGCTAACAATTTATTATAGTGATCCTCCGATTCGATGTGGAACTAAAATTCAATGTCCTTATTCGTGCGTAAGGGTGAGTATCAAACAATTCTTACCAATATTCAACGCTTTTAATTATCTAACTTTATTTTATTTCAAAGGTGCCATCTTGTGGTCATCCAGGTGTCTCACACGGGTGTCATGGAGATGAAGAATCATGTCCTCCATGTGCGTTCTTGGTTAGCAAAAGATGCATGTGTGGTAAATCCGTGGTCAAAAATATTTCTTGTCACAAGTCTAATGTCAGCTGTGGACAAGTTTGCGGTTTACTATCGCCCTGTGGTGGACATCGTTGTAAACGTGTGTGCCATTCTGGAGATTGTCTCATAGAACGACAATGTACTCAGACGTGTGGAAAGCCTAAAGCTTGTGGTAAATATCCGTTGTCATTTAATGAAGTTATTAATATTATGCTTATATACAATATGTTAACATCATATATTAATAACAAGGTCATCCATGTTCTTCGACATGCCCTGATATTACTTGTCAATCCAAAATGATGATTAATTGTAAATGCGGATATTTGTCCAAAGAGGTCATCTGCAATGCAACTAAGGAAACGATAGAAGAAGTTAAATGTCGTCAATTGGAATGCAATAATTTTTGTGCTTTGGCTGAAAGAAACCGAAAGTTGGCTAGCGCACTGGAGCTGTCTGATAGAATTGTTGATGGGTAGATCTCAATTTTAACATTTTTTATTGTATTAATTAATTGTCAATTATCAATTGTAGATTGTAATCTTTAATATTATATTTAGGCCATTTGCTAAAAGTGCCCCTGAGTATGAAGAAGAGCTGCTTAAGTACTTTGGTGCTAATAAAGAATGGGCTAAAAACATTGAATCCACTCTGGGAAACTTCATTCTGAAATCAGAGTAAGTGATTAATGGATTAATGCACTACAAAGTTGATAAATGTCTTTTCACATTTTACTCATTATCTATGAAACAAAAAAAAAAAAAAACAAACCATAGCAAGGTTTACAACGTCCCTTGTGGCATAATAGTTGACATGTGTGCTATTTATTGCATTTGAAAGTTAGTTAATGCATTGGTAAAATTAATAAACCATATATATGAATATGTATGATTTACCTTCCCACATTGTAAGCTTTTCCCGCATACTAAAACACATTGATGATTAACATCATATTCCTCCTCTTGCGAAGCACTACCTCTACTTTTTGAGGATTTCTTGTTAGCTGATGGACAACAACGTACACTACATTGATGCTTGCCACAAGTTCTAAGGCCTCTGCATATTCTATCACATATTAATTCTTCGTGACTGTCCGAAACCTCAGAACAGACACGTTCGAACGTTTTACTGCCACACCGGCACTTTGCATGTACGATAGCCGTACAAGGCTTACAATTCCCATGATGACATGTATCTTGACATTTATGACCACATGGAAGTGTTTTCGAACAAATGTTATTACAAAGTGGAATTTCTTCAATGCAAGACGTTCGCTTATGACCAAGAAGTGACTCTATAGTATTTGCACCACAAGGGCAGTTATGAACATGTGAAGGACTCAATTCGCAAGGTTCATGTTCATCCATCACTGGATGACATGATTTCATGCACGAATGATGACCGCATTCTAACAAGCGATTACACCTTTCTTTGCATGAGAAGAACCCAGTCAAAACCTGTAATGATTTTCCAGATTCTCCACCACAACAACGGATAGCTATCCCTTCACCACATGTCGCCTCTCGTTCCGTCTGTCCACAGTAACATTTTTGTATCTCTATTACTTCGCATCGCGTACAATCGTCTGGATGACATTGCTTTTTGCAATAATGTTTGCCACATCCCAATAAATTTCCACAAACTGATTCGCACGATTTACCACCAGAATGGTCGACTTCGATACAACGAAGTTGATACGTCTGGCGACCACAAAAACAGTGCTGAATAGGGCCCATGGCCGAACAAGGAGGACATGGCCCCGGATGGCACGGTCTATTTTGATTTAAATTGTTAGTTAATTAATATTCAATTAGCAAATTTGATTGTCATAAGTTTAAATACGAGCACTTACTGAGTACAATCATGTGAACAGTCTCTACTTTTTCTGCAAACATTACCACAACTATGAGGAGTTAAATATCGCGTAAATTGAGGGTTTTCTATTTTACCTATATAAAATTATTGTTATTTAAATTTATATTAGAATAATACAGCGAACATATTGATTAATGCCCAATTTAGCATCCTAGGTATTTCTTAACTATTGCATACCACAGAAGCACTTGTACACCTCAGGAATACTCTCAGAATTGTTTTGGCATCCAGGACAACGCCATGAACCAGCATTATCGAAGGACTTTTGAGCCCACTTTTGTGTACACTGCAAATGAAATACTGCCCAACAAACTCCACAAGACCATGTCTTATTACTGGGTCGTATAACTTCACAACAAATCATACATTCATAAGTGGATGTAGTTAACCCATAAGTTATCGAGGTTGACACATCTTTAATTTCATCAAGAGAAAGCTTAGAAACGGAGGATTTCTTTGAATGTGTAGAAGTTCGAGAATTTCTTGAACCATAATTTGGGATTATTTTGCATAGTGACTGTTGGCGCTTCTTCGAAGATAGAGACGGGTTTAATTTTTATTT